AGTTGGTGAAGGGTCTAGAGAACAAGTCTTATGAGGAGGGGCTGAGGGAGCTGGGGTTGTTCAGCCTGGAGAAGAGGAGGCTCAGGGGAGAGCTTATTGCTCTCTACAACTACCTGAAAGGAGGTTGTAGCGAGGTAGGGGTTGGTCTCTTCTGCCAAGTAACAAGTGATAGGACAAGAGGAAATGGGCTCAAGTTGTGCCAGGGGAGGATTAGGTTGGATATTAGGAAAATCTTCTTCACCGAAAGGGTAGTGAGGCACTGGAACAGGCTGCCCAGGGAAGTGGTTGAGTATCAATCCCTGGAGGTATTTCAAAGAAGGGTAGATGTGGTGCTTGAGGACATGGTTTAGTGGTGGACTTGGCAGTGATAGGTTAATGGTTGGACTTGATGATCTTAAGGGTCTTTTCCAACGTTAATGATTCTATGATTCTGTGATTCTATGATTTTGAGGACAAAGAAGTAAATTGGAACTTAACAACAGCAGCTTTGCTGTATTATTTTTTTTTATAGTTAAAGGGGACTGTTTCTCATTCTCACCCAATTTTTTGTTTTGGAATGAATTCACTGAATTGAAAAACAATGGGAAATACCTGATAGTTTGTATTGTTTTGTCCAGTGTATTGTCCCAAGCCAGGTTTTCTACAGTATGTTATTGATTGCTGCATCTGGTCTGGCTTTGAAATGTTTCAAACCACGAGACTTTTATCATTCTTCTGGGGCTACTATTTCATCTCACAGATTTCACTGACAGGAAGTTTTTCCTGATAATCCTGGTAGCTCTCTTCTCTGGCTTTGTGATAAGTGACTTCATTATTCTTTGAAATATGTGGGTGATCAGTGGACATTTTCAAAAGATTCCCTTCCAACTTTGAAAACAAAGAGAATTTTAAACAATATAGAGGATAGATAGCAGGAGAGAAAAAAAATTATCAAGCTGCATATACTTTCTGATAGAAATATGTTTCTGAAGTCTACAACATGCTTTTAAAGTGACACACAATTATGATGGATACTACTCTTGAGAGATTCAGATTTACTTTTCTAGAGACCTAAGCTGGCTTGTTATTTCATTGTTAAGGTACTGACAGTGGAATTTCTAAAAAGTAAGACTGAAAAAATGTCTGCAGAGTGAATGTGTGAATCTTTCCATCATTTCAGCCGCCGCCTTCTGCGACTTTTTGTTGTGTTTGTATCCCTTATTTTGGACTTTAGTCACATGTTGTAAAGTCCAGTGTTGCACATCTGGGTCTTGGCAGGTTGAGAACTGTGACTGTGAATAATGAGTCAATTATCACTTAGTCAGGGGGAAGGCAGAGTGATCCTGTTGCTGGCTTGAATGTGATCCTTCCTCCTTCCCCTTCTCTTTCAAAAGTAAGGACAGAAATGGTTAAAATTCAGAACACTGTCAAAGGAATATAGCTGTGATATTTCTCTGCAGATTGTAGTTTCTTTACATTTAGAACAATTTATGTGTGTTTTTTTTAATAATATTTTTTAAGATCATGACTGTTACTCCTTCAAGAGAGCCAGTTACGTGATGCATGCAATGAGAAACTAGGTATGAGTAGTTACTTTGGACATCTGAAGGTGGATCTTACTGGCCCTGAGGGACTGTGCTTGAGGCTAGCAACGTGATGTTTGAGTCACCTCCCCGCCTCCAATTTTTGTGGCACAGCCTCATTATGCACATGGTTGCATAGCTGATACTCTGTCCACAGCATGCATTTCACAACTGCTTTGGGTTGCTTAGACTTTTTTCTTTTCTAGTGCTTCTAGCTGTAGTCTGGGGTTGGTAAATGGCACATAAGTGAATGCACTTCATTTCTTATTAGCTCATTTAATATATCTAGCTTTTTAACTGTGACAATAGCTCAGCTGTCCAGAAAATATATAACCTAATAAAATAAGTTTGCCAGCTCATGTGTACTGTCTAATTATAACTGCCCAACTATGTGTCATGGGTCTTTTGATGGTAAAAGTGATATTATTTTATTTGGAGAATTCAGAACCTATATTTTGGAGAAGGATGATCTGATTTATATCCTAGAAAAATGACCACAGTGGTATTCAGGATAGGCATGGGCTTGTGCAAGAATATCGTGTTTATTCAGAGCCTTTTGGCTCTATGAATTATGTTGCTGATCATTCCAGTTGATGATGCCTTTTGTCTCTCTGTTGATCTGGCTGAGAAAAGTGTATGGCTTCCAGAAGCTTTTTCTCAGTTCTCATACATAGAGGCTCCTGATGCGCAGAGGGAGGATACTGGGTCCTCAGTCCCTGTTGTTACTCAGTAGGGCTGTGCATGTTTGGCTGAATAATTTGCTAATACACACATACCCTAAAACACATTAGTATCCTTTTGTGGCTTGTCAGTCTTTCTTTAATATCAAACTTGTCAGTTGTTAGTATAAAACAGGAAGTCCATCCTGTTTTACCACTACAGTAACAAAAGATTGAAGCTTTTTGAGCTAGTCATCTAGTTCTTCCTATAAAGTAGGGTGACAGTAAAAATATCTTCAAATAGCGGGTGACCATTTTACCTGTCAAGAATTTGAAAGAGGGTTTCCTGTGTAATACTGCTTCATTTCCATGGCTTGAAAAAGAGAGTGTGTAGGAAGAAGAGATTGCCCATATGTACTGCTGTTTCCAAATATTGTTTTAGGAAAGTACTTGCTAAAAAAGCAGGGAGAAGGCAGATGTCGTATCAAGAGACCTGGGATTTAGGAATTATTCAGAGGATCCATCTGTGGTCTGAGCATTAAAATCTGTTTGCTAAATTGCTCTGGTCTGGTGCAATTTACTTTCTATGAACCTGGACTCTTATGAGTGTGGACTTCAGGTTATGCCCAAACTGCTAGCCCTTTTTTCATAGTAACTGCAGCACAGAGCTGTCCCTGGGGATTAATAACTCTTTGGTGGATGGCTCAATGTAGTAACCCCAAGGGCATCGTTGCAACTCTCCACAAGAATTACTTCAATGCCTGTAACATATAATTATGCTTTAGAAATGCACTGCAGTGTTTCTTATTGTTACAAAGTAGATTTTTCAAATTAAACCCAAGAAACTGTTAAACAAGCATTTATTTTTCATTAAGAACATGTGCTGTGAAGTTCATTTGAATTGATTGTCCTATAGCCGCTCCATATTTGATAATGAGACTTCTATAATAAAAAGTCTGGCATTTTTATTTTGGCCATGATATGTATTTTTTGCCATGTTGTCGGAAAAAAACTGTTCAGCATGGGTTCGGAAATCCATACTTCCATGCACATACTTGTCCTGATCTGTAATCAGCTCCTAGATCCAATCTGTACTGTTGAGATTTCATTTGATGATCACCTAGCTGTATCCTAATTCTGCTGGCTGTTCCGTACCCTATGGACCTGGCTGGTAGGACAGTCAGAAGCACTAATACTTGTCTTAACTTTGCTCTTGTTGTCCCAGGAGTTGTTAAAGGTCGGAAAGATGTCACAAGTTATCATTGAAAGACTCAATTCTGTTTCTGAATACTTCTCTGTTTTCAGTGAGGGCCCAGTTAGCCACTATTGATGTATAAAATAAACGTGAGAGAAGTTATTCCAATCTTCTGTCAATGCACTGGCAAAACATTTTTCCAGTCTGTCTTTCAAGACCAAAGGAATCCCCTAAGGGAACAAACTGCTTGAAAATCTGTATTTAATCTTTAATCTCAGAACCTAAACTTCTGGCAATTAAATATCACTGGCATACTGCTGTTTGTTAGTCTGATGCCGATAAAAAAATATTTACTTGCAAAATTTTCCCACCCAGTCAGATTGCTGACAAATTGGTACTAAGATAAGTCAAGAGCATACTATAGTTGTTAAACACCGAAAGCAGCAGTGCCTAAAGAAATCGGATCAAATGAGGTGTTTTACTAGCTAAAGATACAGGGGCTAGGTTATAGGACCTGTCAGTGCATCTCATCACATGGTCCTGGACTGGTGGAGATTCTGGCAGCGGTGCCCATGGTCACCTGAGAGCACTGTGGTTGCTTGCACTGGGTGGACTCACAGCCAGTATCAGTATCAGCTCTGACAAGAACTGCCAAGGCTCACTTTTATACTAGACAACATGGGCTTTTGCTCTAATGGTTGTGAGGTTCACACACAGGGCACATGTTTGGACTGATAGTCGGTATAAACCGGGTGGTACCAAGATATTGAGGTAGAAAATACAAGAACTACTCCATTTTGGACCAGATCATTACTGTACTATGGTCAAAATCAGAGTCCTTTCTTGTGCTTGATAAGAAAGTACAGCATTGGTTGGTATGTGAAGGAATATGCGCACTTGAACTGTTTAAGATATCAAGTGATTTTGTGAGCACAGATCTCACATAAGCACAGTTGCGGGACTTTTAAAACTAGACATGTAAGTGTTGGGAGTGTGTGTTAGTGTTGGGGAATGATGGGGGTTTCTGGTTTTAATTCTGAAAACGTACATCTAAAATAGCTCTACTGAGTGCACGCAGTTGCTATGGGGTTTATAGTAGTGTCGCAAAGAAGAGACTCTCTTCATATGTGTTGGTGTTTGCAGTGCCGGATGAAAGCATGCGCACAAATGCCATTTTGTGCCATTTTGTGCAGCATTCAGAGAGCATTTAAACAAAGTTTTAAAATAAAAACTAAGGTGTAACTGTACTTAATGTCTTGCTTTTTGCGGTATTTTCAGCTCTTGGGTTATTTTATCAAGTTTTCTGTATATTGCATAAGCTTTTGAAACAATGAATTCTTCAGTATTGAGGAACAGGTAATACTCTGTGCACTTGAAGTTCAAACTGCATATTTGGTTTTATGATAAAGATTGCAAAGTACATGTATATGATGCACATGGAAGCTCTGAGCATGAGAGGAAAAGTGAATGTGTAAAATAAGCCAATATGAGATCTAATGTTCACGTTTTTCTTTTTCTTGGATAGTGCATTATGTTATCTGATCTGGTGTGGTTCTCCTTGCAGAGGAAGAGGGGAAGACAATTCAAGGAAGTAAAGTGGACTCCCTAAGAAAAACATTTTCTACTTCTGAATTATCAAACAGAAATAAACAGGATGGCTCACCTGGAAGAAGCAAAGAAATGTGGGTGTCTCTTCCACCACAGATGCCAAATGAGAATGAGGTAATGAGTTAACATTTGTCCATGTGGACAAGCACCACATTCAAACAGATGAAAATATGGGGAGATGTACTGTCCAAATGTTAGAGGCTAGTGGTATTTATCCCATCCGAGGCAAATATTTAAAATACTACCTAAGTGTGTAATGCTTACAGAGGCACCTGCAGGGATCACGTTTGGCAGTGGCATTTGCTCTACTGAAGAGCTGCCGTAATCTGACTAATATATAAGGCACCCTGCAAGGACCTTTGTAATGCTTTCACTGAAGTTAACAGTTAACAGTAGAGGCTGGCAAAAAGGAAAAAGTCTTGAGAGTATGGATGCCAGCATGCACAGATTTATTTTGTTTCTTGGGGTTTTTAGCAAGTACTGAATTCTGTGTTACTGAAGCTAGATTGCTTTAGCTACCTAAAGTAAACAGTAGGCAGGTCAGAGGCATTTTTAATCTTCTGAAACATATGAGATTAGGGATTTCATGTGTAGGGACAGGAAAACAACAGACATCATCTGGAGAGAGCTAGATGGAAATCTGAGTCCACTTGTTAAGAACTTCTGCCCTCCTGCCTGAATAACAAATAACTAAGCTGTGATCTAGCCTGTACTCTAAAATTCCCTTCATTAAATTTTTTATTAAAAGAGAAGTAGCAGGTCATTTTGTGCAGTACACAGAGCAACACACTTAAGTGCCTTCAAATGATGGGCCTGCCAGGCCTCAGTCAAAGAGCACAAGCTGTCATTTTCCTTCCTGCTAGAACATGCCTTTGAGGTAGAATCAAGCAAGGCTTTTAAAACAATTACATTTTCTCAGTTGATTATATAATAATAACAACAAGAATCTTTTTGCCATTTTTCTCATGAAGAATATGGTTGCCTTATTGGGATAGACTGCCTTTGGGTGTCTTACTTTAGCCACTTTGAATTGGCTTTCTGCCCCATAAAGCAATGTGCAACTTCCATTATCCTTTGTTTAATGGAACATCTTAATACTTGTCTTTGTTGCTACAGAAAAAAAGTTTCAGGCATGGCTGCACATTTTTGTCACGTTAGCAGTTTAAGAAACAAATACAGTAATAGTAGAATGCATCAGAAAAATTGGTAGCATCGTAGCAGGATGAGGCTGTAATGCAGTAAGTTGGCCACTGTAACCTTTAAGCCTGCCCTGAGGAAAGGAAAGAGGGAAAAAACTGCTATTGAAAACAATACTTCTGTTCTAAATGCTGCTTTTTAGGCATGTTATGATTACTTGCACTGTTATTCCAATTGATTCAGTCTGATCCTGTGTAGGATTTCAGAGGATTACCTGCATACGTTCTGTTCTCAGGAGCATTGCATTCAATTTTTAAAAATTTTTAAGTACACCATAAAGGATCTGTGTGTGTGAATCAGTAGGAGCTTTGACTGTGATTTTGGTTCTGTTTCATGCATATAAGTATTTCTGCCTATCTATCTACAGACAGTGATGAATGAGAGCTGGAAAGCTGGTGCCTCTGATGGAAATGATCTCAGTCTGTCTGAAAGAGTGAAGGTGAGGTTTTCTTTGATTTTCTTCAAAGTGGGGATTATAAGTAGAACATGACTGATTTTTGCTTTATTCATTTAAAAAGTACTTGCAATTTGTTGATGTATTTCTTTCCTGTCTGTGGGAAAGAAGGATGAGAGCATCACCATCCCAAATTTTTTTCAAATGTTAGTGAATATGTACTTTTAAAGTGTAAAGGTTATGTAAGCGTTGATAAGAATGGTGTCAAATCAGGTTGGAAAAAATTCTCTAAGAGTATCTCTAATTACTGAATGGAAACACAAAAGACTACCCAGTGCATATAGTAAATCCTCCTTGGTAACGCTATTTGCACATATGCTGGGAAAAGCCTTTCATTCTCACCCTTTGCATCTGTTCAGTGCTACCTGAAATAAGAAACGTCTTTTATTGTGGTATGTTTCAGATAGTTAAATTGTTTGAAGGGACATCAGCCTGAAAAGACAGTAGTGCAATGTCCCAGATGAAATACTAAAAATCTAATAATTCTTAGGTTTTTATTTCCCATTCAGTTCACCATTAATATCAAAACAGAAGGATTGAGCTCTCCTTTGCCTACGGCATGTATTGCCTCTGTGCCATATGCAGTGAGCTTGCAAAAATGCAGAGTAACTTATCATGTGTCTTTTTCCTGTGAAAATATTTTACTTCTCCATCTTCCCACTAAGTTCCTGAAAAAGTTGCTGTACAGCTTGAGCTTCTTTCCCATCACTGTAGTTGGTATGCAGCAATTTTGGCAGCAATTCTTTGTCTATACTTAAAACTATTTCCTTTGGGTTACACATTTCAAAGAAAATTCATATGCTTTCTTGGAAAAATGCAGGGGACAATGGAGAAGATGAAGGACACAATGTAATGCTTCTTTTATTTGCTCTAGATTGTACAATAAGAAATGGAATTAATACATTTTAATGTATTTTCAAATTTGGGGTTTTTATGGCAGGTGGACAAGCACTTAGATTTGGAAGATATCGACACAGACGAAGAGACAGGCAGTGGTAGGTTTCCCACCCCTTCATATTCACTATCATTGTCTGTCTTTGCATGCAAGAGTATGGATGTTGTTTAAAGCACCATTTCTCCTCTAAAAGAGATGTTCTTCCTCAGTTCTTCTATTGCTAAAAGATTCCTCAAATTGCCTAAATTCCCCAAATTAAAGTACTAATTTCTTCATTCTAAGAGGTAATGAGATAATAAATTATAAGGAATATTTATTATACTGTGTCCTGGTGAGCAGTTATTTTTTTCAAGATTTTTCAGAATTGCAGAACACTTCTTGTTAGCAACGTTTCTACATTTTTTTGCACTTCTATTTTGTATTGAAATTATTTTGATTACAAAAGTTTCTCCACAAAGTAATGTGGGTGCTAAGAGAGAGTTCTATAATGTGGAAATACTTAATGAAAGTGTTGCCCCTGCCTATTAAAATTATTTCATCCTGGGCATAAAATAGATGAGACGAATTTTGAATTCACAGTGAACTTCTTTAAGAATTCCAATTATGAGCATTTTGAGTTGTGTTGAACTGTCCATACATCTGTAATAATTTTAACTCTCCCACCTCTAAACAGTAAATAGAAACCTAGTGTCCGTAGTTATTTGTCTATCATAGATGTTTGTGTGGTCTTTATTACCACCAGAATTGATGACCTTTTAGTGATTAAATATATTTTCCTCATCTATACCTGTGACTGCACAAAGAAACCAAGCCACACAGATCAAGGGATTTGCCAGAGGTCACTCAAGGAAGCTGTTTGTCGTGGTTTAACCCCAGCCAGCAACTAAGCACCACCCAGCTGCTCGCTCACTCCCCCTCAATGGGGTGGGGGAGAGAATTGGAAGAGTAAAAGTGAGAAAACTTGCGGGTTGAGATAAAGACAGTTTAATAGGTAAAACAAAAGCACCCAACCAAAGCAAAGCAAAGAAAGCAATCAATACACCACATCGGCAGGCAGGTGTTCAGCCATCCCCAGGAATTCAGGGCTCCATCACACGTAACGGTTACTTGGGAAGACAAATGCCATCACACCTAACGTCCCGTGTCCCCCCTTCCTTCTTCTTCCCCCAGCTAATATACTGAGCATGATGTCATATGGTATGGAATAGCCCTTTGGGCAGTCTGGGTCAGTTGTCTTGGCTGTGCCCCCTCCCAGTTCCTTGTGCACCTGGCAGAGCATGGGAAGCTGAAAAGTCCTTGACTAGTGTAAACGCTACTCAGCAACAACCAAAACATCAGTGTGTTCTCAACATTATTCTCATCCTAAATCTAAAACACAGCACTATACCAGCTACTAGGAAGAAAATTAACTCTATCCTAGCTGAAACCAGGACACTATTACAGAGCAGGACTTTGGTCTTCAGTTCCTTAGTTATTGCCATTTGATTAGTCTGTCTAATCCATTAAAGATTTGATAAATCTTTCCTTTCTGTATGAGCAGAATTCCTATGAAGTCAGAGGGCTTAGAGACTTCCAGCAGATGAATATTTGGAGCTTGACTGTAATTCGCAAGAAAATAATAAACCAACATAAGTCAGGTTTACAGCAAATATTCTTTCTCCAACCTGGGCATCTCAGGAAGGAGGGAGTAAGATAGCAGTCCTGTATCAGGTACAGACGTCAAAGATTTCTTTTGAGTGCAGTGTTCATATATGCCCATTTTTCCCTTTGTAGGACATTCGTTTGTGTTTATGTCTTAAATTCTGGTAATAGCTATTAAAAAAACCTGGGGCTCACTGGTGGAAGCCTAAACCCACATTTCACTTGAATCATAATGAAATGAGAATTGTTTATATCTAGTTCATGGAAGTATTGTTAGATATCTCTAATTCAAAACAGGCCACAAATTGGATGATGAGAAATAAGCCCAACACTAAAATACCAAGTGGGCAGTGAGGAAAGAAGAGCTCTACCAGAGCTTGGGGATAGCTCGCCACTTTATGGACCATGCCAGACCTTGCCTCTCTCCAGGCTTTTCAGTCATTTCTGTGTATTTGTGAGTGTGCAAGAGTAAATGTTAATCACATACGTTTAGAAACCCCTAGTAAAATAGACTGCATTTGAATAAGATGAGAATTACAAAAATTATCATCTGCTTGTATTGTCTGAATAGGACTTTGTGCAAGCCACATTGGGAAAACCTTTCAGTTAGTGCTTTTATTGGTGATTATAAAGACATTAAACATAACATTATACCACCACTACTGTAGATTATCAGTGTGCTAACTACTTGCTTTTTACGTGACATTTGGCTTTCAATCTCTGCTCTCCTCAGCTCTTCCCATGGGACAGCACTCCCTGCATAAACTCCCTGCACAGACTGCTTCAGTGCAGAAATAAGTCATATCAACCCCTAAGCAATCAACAGTGCTCACTAACAACGTTAAGCATTTAGATTGTATTTTATAACATTGAAACATTGCCTAGCCAGAAGCTAATTATTCCCTCTAAACTCTGTAAGGAAAGTGAACAACATCCAAATTTATATATAGGAGACCCACAGCCTGGGTCTTGCCCAGGGCTTCTTCACTGGAAATCATTGTTGAGTCAAAATGAAAAATTTCTCCTTGAATCTTGTCATGGTTTAACCCCAGCCAACAACTAAGCACCACAGAGCTGCTCACTCACTCCCCCCCCAGTGAGATGGGGAGAGAATCAGAAGGGTAAAAGTGAGAAAACTTGTGAGTTGAGATAAAGACAGTATAATAGGTAAAGCAAAAGCTGCGCATTCAAGCAAAGAAAAGAAGGAATTCATTCACTCCTTCCCATCAGCACACAGATGTTCAGCCATCTCCAGGAAAGCAGGGCTCCATCATGCGTAATGGTTACTTGGGAAGACAAACGCCATAACTTCGAACGTCCTCCCCTTCCTTCTTCTTCTCCCAGCTTTATATGCTGAGCATGATGTCATATGGTGTGGGATATCCCTTTGGTCAGTTGGGGTCAGCTGTCCCAGCTGTGTCCCCTCCTGCCTTCTTGTGCACCCCCAGCCTACTCGCTGGTGGGGTGGTGTGAGAAGCAGAGAAGGCCTTGTCTCTGTGCAAGTACTGCTCAACAATAACGAAAACATCCCTGTATTATCAATACTGTTTTCAGCACAAATCCAAAACATAGCCCCATCCTAGCTACTATGAAGAAAATTAACTCTATCCTAGCCAAAACCAGCACAACTCCTAAGTGCAGAAAATAGGACTTACAGTTTGATAGTCGTTTTACATGTCAAAGTCCACTTGATAGGCTTCATAATAAGAGAGGTATAGTCTTACTCCTGTAGAAACCATAGCAACGAAATGCAAATTAAAATATAAAGTGGTGTCGCTTCTATTGTTCGTAATAATAAAGTAATATAAAATAATATCCGTATTGACCACCTAATAAAGGATTAATTCTGAAGAATTCCGGTTAGTTTATAAGTGAGGCAAAGTGTGACACAAATTTGAAAGACATTCTGTTGCTGGCCTTTTTAAATGCTGCCACCCGTATGTCGGAACAAATGATGGATTTAAGACTTCATATTGGCCAAACAAACTAGGACATCCAGTGAAAAATGTCATACCTTGCTAGTATAATTACAACAAGCTTTTATCTCTGCTTGTTATTGGCAACAGTTCTGTATCTCTGTACTTCATTTAGCTTTAAAGGGCAGATCAGTTAGCTGAGTTAGCAACTGTATATTAATACAATAAATATTCACACTATTCACACTTAAGGGGAAGTGGCTCAAAGTTGGCAGTGTGAAAAGCATGATAGAAAAGAGGTGTTAAAACGTCCCATCTAAACCAATGCTTTTTGGGAGATGTCCTGGAAAAATCATTCTAGTGTGTTTTTTCTCTTTTTTTTCCAACTTATTTTCCCAAGTCCAATGATGTCTTTTAAGGTGTGAATGAATACAGCTGCTTCTTACAAAAAAAAAAAAAAAGCAGCGCACAGATTTGGCCAGTATGCAAATTCATTGTAGCTGTTTTCACTAGACAGCACTGGGCTGAAAGCCTGAAACCAGGGCAGTGCGTTCCATTGTGGGACTTTGGCACAGTAAACCATGATTGGCAAAGTAAAATTGCCGCCCTAAACCATAGCTTTAATGCATCGTGTAGAGCCAGCATGTGTATGGTGGACTGTTTAATCACTCTTTCTCACTGAATTTAATCTGTTACTGTAAGTAGCTTAAGGCAACAATAGAGATGATCAGGCTTTCTCTGGGGATGGATGGAGAATACGTAGTACCTATGTTTTGGCAACAGAATTCCTTTCCAGGACTGGTGACAAATCACTTGCTGCAGGGCTTGAAGAATAGTTATGTAATAATAGGTAATATTTGTATAAAGTACCAAAAAACCCCAATGTCTAGAGACCTTGAGTGTGCTATTTTTTAAATACAAGAGAAAATTAAAATAGGACTAATGAAATGTATGGGTGAGGCTGCATAGGCAAGGTTATCGGAGTCTCATCCTAATCTGGTTTAGAGCCCTGAGGTACTGTAAACTTGTCTTTTCAAAATTCAAGTTCTCTGTAACCCCACAGAGGTTGAGGAGAACCCAAGTGACTCAGTTACTTTAAAGCTGAGGCCAAGCATAACTATTTGATTATTTAAATATTTCTTTAGACAAATTATATCAGTATCTGTTATTTTCCATAATCTATGCCTTTTCGTTTATATTTTGAGCCTATATTTACATCCAAAAAAATCAGGTTGAGGAAGAGGATTCAGAGTTAAATTATGTGGATTTTTTTCAAGTATGGGGCTGCCCCCAGCTGATGAATCTCTTTTTCTTTTTTTCTCCTCCAGTCTCTGCAATCCATTTAACACTGCCTCAAGATGATTTCACACTAGGCAGCTCTTCAGGGCTAACAGCCTGAAGCCTGAGAATCAGAGGACACAGCAAAATTTAGCTTTTAAGCTTTTTTCGCTATCACTACCTCCCTCAGCTCCCCATCAACAGCAGTTTTGTGAAATTTAGTGTTTGAAAGTAGTAAAACCTGTGTTAATTATCTATAGCTAGGCATCGTTTGGCTACAGTAAAGCTAAAGATTTAGACAAGACTTTCAACTTCTTTACTCTTGAAAGTTCAAATCAGGTTTGTGCCAATAGATTCTTCTTTTTCTGTAGTTACAATTAACGTCAATGGTACACAATGAGCAAAAAACCCCAACTCAGCAGTAATCACTTTCTGTGGGTCTATCATGTGGGAGGGGGAAAGGGACTAAAGAGAAGAGGACTGATCAGTTTCCAAATACTTCATTAAAGTATGCTGGACTTGAGTAAAATCATCAGAGTTCACTGCCATATCATCCAGGAAGTTGATTCTTCATGGTATAAGGAGAGGTGCATTTCAAAGTCTCTTCTCAGATTTTTTGATATCACTGCCTGCTCAGTTATCTCTATATATGGTGCCTTTGGCAGTATCCAAGGCTTTCCTGTTGCTAATTAATCACCTCCACAGAGAACATAATTAGCAGCTTAATTAGGATCATCATCCACTAGTGCTGTAGCATCAGCCTAAACCAGCTGTGAGGTACTGGCTAGAAGTTACAATAGCCTACAGTTCCTTTGGGAGCTCCCACTGAGAAGGAGGACTGTCAAAACTCCCTAATTTTTCTCTCTGAAGGAGTTTCTTGATTAAACAGCAGAGAAAGCAGCATTTACCGATTAGACTTTCATATGCTGTCACGCAGCCAGGATAGAGAGACAAAGCTCATTTCTGGCATGTCTACTGGCAAACAAAGGTTGATTACCACATTCTTATGGGGTGATTGAAGGGAATTTGAAACATTGTTTGCATTACTAATGAGCCTTAAAATGGTGGAATTAACATTCTGAGTATGACAAGCACTTCTTGCTAAAAGCAAAAATAAATTTCCTTCTGTTGTCCTAATTTTTAAGAGCTGTCTTTCTGAGCCATTGCCAGACCGTTGCATAACAGTGCTTCCTCCTCATCTTCTCTCCACAGATTGGGCTGCTGGGGGGGGAAGCTCTTAGTACAGAAAAAATCAGTGTTTATATCAGGAGGTGATACAAACCTCCTGATGTCCAGGCTTTCCTTCCTTCCTTCAGTGAGGGTATATATTTAGGGTGCAAGTTTGAAACAATAGCAGAAGATGCCATTAAATGAGCATTCACATCTTCCTTCTGTCCTACAAATAGTTTTGACCCAAGTTATGAAAGATCGAAAAAGCAGTTGCAGAGCATGTGAAGACATAACATATATACCTGTGGACTGCACTGTTCTTTTCAGAAAGCTTTCTCATATAACTGACACAGAATAAGATCAGATGCTATGCTGAGAACAAGTACTTAAAACACATAGATGACTAAAGATAGGTATAAGCAACCAAGAGAATAGGGATGAAAACTGGAAACCACTTATACATGAATCATGAACCAAAAGACAAAAATCCAGGAATGAGATACCCAAGGGAATGAATTCAGCTCTTTTTTGAAGAACATTCTATTTTACAAGTCAAAACCCTACTGGCTTTGCAATAGTACACAATTCCCAGAAGAAAACTAAATGAAGAATTTGATCATGGATTTATTATGAAAGCCTAGCTCAGAAATCATTATTATCTTTATTTTCAAATTCAGATTTACAGGAGAATGAGAGATCTGTAACGCCACTACTGTGGTAAAAGTGTGCAGGTAGAGATAAATTGCTACTTCTTCCTTTTCACCCTGGATCTATGTACCCTGTTGTTTGTTCCATTAACTAACATTTAAGCAATCCTTTGAAAATTTATTCTGAGATTTCACGAGGAAATCAAGCTACAAAAATATAGTATAAAGCTGTAGAGAAACTTGTGTATCAGTCAGAAAAAATAGTAGGTAGATTTACATAATACTTTGACTAAATTGCAAGACATATGGTCCCCTTAAGTTCCTTCATAAAAACATTACTGAGACAAGACGGACACAGCTGCGCTGTGGCAGAGCTGAGACTGATTCATGTTAAAAGGTATTTCTAAACCTAAGGCATATCAGTCTGAGCTGTCACAGAAAGCAAACCCACTGTTCCCAGTATGAATGTTTTGCCTAAGTATGTAAAGGAAATGTGATTCAGAAAGTCTGTGAATTTGTGAACTGTGGACCAAATCCTGCCTGTGTGGAAAGATTACACGTTCCTGTGTCCCAGATACAGGGAAGTCCTCTGAAGTACCTCCTTGTGGAAAGCTCAGGGAGGAACAAACATCCATGAAATATCCTTGGACAAGAGAGTCATCTGGCATTGTAGTGGGGAATATTAATACTTCTACCAGGTATTTTTACTTAATGTTTCAGGAGAGCATGTTAACATGCTTTGTGAAGATTCTTTATGCCCAATGTACAGGTGGTGAAACTCTAGCAAAAGATAATTGAATGAGACTGCCCAGCTAATCAATGGCAAGACCAGGATTCAGTTTGGTATTTTGTAAGTCCTACTGCAGACATCTCTGCTCAGGACCTTCCTTATTTGTTATGAAAGAGATGAATCTAATCCCAGGTGTTCTCTGAGTTTACATCCAGATTTTTAATTTAGTGTCCTCAAGAAAGAAGAGCTACCTGTCTATTTTCAACCAAGTTTGATTTTTCCTTAGTATAGTATATTTTATTATCTAGATTTTAGCTCAGGACTGCATGGATCTGTTTTAAAGATATCTGCCTTTATTATGTATTATGCAACAATAAGTACAGCACACTTTGACTAACAAGCTTCTGCCTGTGTCTGAGCACTACATGATTTTACACAGGATTTTGCTAATTTATACATTGAATGGAAGGGTAAAGTTGACTATTTTTTACTCAGCAGGGTCACTAGTTCTCCCAGGAGAGGTGGAACAGACAGGGACTTACTGTACACCCTTTTTTCATAAGCCTGTTCAACTGAAGTTCAGAAGCTTGTCAGTTCCACAGCCATTGGACAGCAAAACCCAAGAGGTATGAAGTCAGATTTATTTATTTAAACATGGGGGGGTTGGGGTGGTTTTTTTTTTACCTGTTGGCTTCTAATGTTATTTCCACAAAAACAGAGGGATATAGATGGAGTGTGTGGAACTGCTATGATTTAACAAATCACATTATTAATTTTTAAATTATTAATGAATTCTTAAATACATTAAGAATTGAGATAAACACTCTAATAGAAAGGTACTATTTTATCTTGTACACTGCTACTATATAATCCTACATTTTCAAAATGTGTACTTCAGTACTTCAAACTGTATGTGGGCTTTTTAATATTTAATTGGTGTGACTCACAGAATATTCAAGCAAACTCTTGCACCTCCTGACCTTTTAACAAATCATTACTTACGTAGAATGATGGGTCACTTAATTTTCCAGTGATCTCATCATCTTACAGCATCATGCAGTTCTCATTGGGCTGAATATAGGAACCATCTTCTGCAACACAGAGGCAGTGAATGATCCCTCTAATGTGACATTTAAAAGAAAAAAGGGTTTTAGAATATATTGTGATCAGAATTGGGATTTGTCCTCTTGGAAATGAGTAGTAGCAAGATGCTGCTGAGGATCTGCATTGTCTAGGTCTAGTGTGGAGAAGTTTGCATTATGGAGTCTTAGTCTTTTAATCAGACGCAATCAATACAAGCTTTAATTTAGAATTGCCATTTTCCCGCAGAACTTCAGTTCTTTTCAAACTGGAACAGAAGGTGTAGATTGCTCACAGACTTATTTTAAGTCATTAAGCTTCCTATGCAAACAGTCAGTGCGACCATTAACTTTTGGGGATGTTTCTAGCGCAGAGAATTCTTCAGCACTCTTCTCCCCTGCCTGATCATTGTAATAGAAGCTGAAGTTAGCTTCCAGCTAAAATAGGCCACTTTTGATAGTTTCGTGTGCTTATTGATGTCCCATGAGGCTTAAATCAAGTTTATAAATGACGCATGACCAGTGAAGGATTGATGTTATAGCAGTGCATATGGTGCCTCCTTTCCTGAGCTCAATTGTGTTTAGTACTTTGCAATAAACTCTTTACTATAAGGAACAAGTCTGCTTTGGGAGAAAGTAAATGTTCTAAAATGACCTTTCAAGCTTTAATACCCACCATTCTGTGAATAAAAATGCTCACTCTTTTCCCTAAGGATTGACATAATTCAAGGTTTTTGCTTTGAGAAATATCCATTGGCACACACAAAAAAAAACCCTAGAATGAGGTTTTAGTTTTCTTGTTTGATAATTTCTGTATAAAACCAAAGAAGGAGCGTTGCAGCAGCCTGCAGTGTTCATAAAAGATTGCATATGACTCTTTAAACTATAATTCATGAAAAATGGATGAAGATCCCACTGCATGCAAAATTCATTTCCATTTGAGGAAAAGTGGGGTGATGAAAGGGAAACTGAGCATTGGTTAAGGGTTGCTGCATTTTTCAAGAAGAAAGACTTAGGATTTTTACAACCGTTTGGTTCGTGCCAGGCTACTCAAGATGCAGGCAGTCTTTCCCCTAACTTATATACATATTTGTGCCTTCATTTAGATAATATAACTATGGCCTGATTTTTAGAACTGTCAAGACTGAACAGGTCCATTTTAAAATCCCTTAGTGCTTCAAATTGTCATTGCCTTGAAAATTAAGTCTTGCATTGCTTATGGCAGGACTCATTTAGAAAGAGAAAAAGATTTTGCCTGGAATAGGATCATAGAATCATTTAGGTTGGAAAAGACCCTTAAGATCATCGAGTCCAACCATAAACCTACCACTGCCAACTCCACCACTAAACCATGTCCTGAAGCACTACATCTACATGTCTTTGAAATACCTCCAGGGATGGTGACTCAACCACTTCCCTGGGCAGCCTGGTCCAATGCTTGACCACCCTCTTGGTGAAGAAGTTTTTCCTAATATCCAACCTAAACCTCCCCTGGTGCAGCTTGAGGCCATTTCCTCTTGCCCTATTGCTTGCAGCTCCCTCGGCCGCTCCTTGTAAGACTTGTGCTCTAGACCCTTCATCAGCTTCATTGCCCTTCTTTGGATGTGCTCCACCACCTCTACCTCTTTCTTGTAGTGAGGGGCCCAAAACTGAACACAGTATTCGAGGTGTGGCCTCACCAGTGCCAAGTACAGGGGGGGCGATCACTTCCCTAGTCCTGCTGGCCACACTATTTCTGATACAAGCCAGGATGCCATTGGCCTTCTTGGCCACCTGAGCACACTGCTGGCTCACATTCAGATGGCTGTCAACCAACACCCCCAGGTCCTTTTCCACCAGGCAGCTTTCCAGCCACTCCTTCCCAAGCCTATAATGTTGCATGGGGCTGTTGTGACCCAAGTGCAGGACCTGGCACTTAGCCTTGTTGAACCTCGTACAATTGGCCTCGGCCCAATGATCCAGCCTGTCCGGATCCCTCTGTAGGGCCTTCCTACCCTCCAGCAGATCAACACTCCCGGCCAACTTGGTGTTGTCTGCAAACTTACTGAGGGTGTACTCGATCCCCTTGTCCAGATCGTTGAGGAAGATATTAAACAGAACTGGCCCCAATATTGAGCCTTGGGGAACACCCCCTGTGACTGGTTGCCAACTGGATTTAACTCTATTCACCACAACTCTTTGGGCCCAGCCATCCAGCCAGTTTTTTACCCAGCGAAGAGTGCGCCCATCCAAGCCATGAGCAGCCAGTTTCTCCAGGAGAATGCTGTGGGAAACGGTGTCAAAGGCTTTAGTAAAGTCCAGGTAGACAACATCCACAGCCTTTCCCTTATCCACCAAGTGGGTCACCTTGTCATAGAAGCAGATCAGGTTGGTCAAGCAGGACCTGCCTTTCATAAATCCATGCTGACTGGGCCCGATCACCTGGTTGTCCTGTATATGCAGCATGATGGCACTCAGGATGATCTGCTTCATAACCTTCCCTGGCACTGAGGTTGACTGATAGGCCTGTAGTTCCTTGCAGCCCTTCTTGTAGATGGGCATCACATTTGCTAACCTCCAGTCAGCTGGGACCTCCCTGGTTGGCCAGGACTGCTGATAAATGATTGGAAGTGACTTGGTGAGCACCTCTGCCAGCTCCCTCAGGACCCTTGGGTGGATCCCATCCAGCCCCATAGATTTGTGCATGTCTAAGTGGTGTAGCAGGTCACTAACCACTTCCCCTTGGATTATGGGGGCTTCATTCTGCTCCCTGTCCCTGTCTTCCAGCTCAGGGGGCTGGGTACCCCGAGAACAACTGGTCTTAGTATTAAAGACTGAGGCAAAGAAGGCATTAAGTATCTCAGCCTTTTCCTCATCTGTTGTCACTATGTTTCCCCCCACATCCAATAAAGGATGGAGATTCTCGTTAGCCTGCCTTTTGTTGTTAATGTATTTATAGAAACATTTTTTTATTGTCTTTTACGGCAATAGCCAGACTAAGTTCTAGTTGGGCTTTGGCCCTTCTAATTTTCTCCCTGCATAACCTCACAACACCTTTGCAGTCCTCCTGAGTTGCCTGCCCTTTCTTCCAAAGGTCATAAACTCTCCTTTTTTTCCTGAGCTCCAGCCAAAGCTCTCTGTTCAGCCAAGCTGGTCTTCTCCCTTGCTCGCTCATCTTTCGGCACATGGGGACAGACCACTCCTGCGCCTTTAAGATTTCCTTCTTGAAGCGTGTCCAGCCTTCCGAGATGCCTTTGCCCTTCAGGACTGCCTCCTAAACAGGCCAAAGTCTGCCCTCCTGGAGATATTGCTGCTTTGAAATGAGACAGTTCTCTGTCCATCAAAACAAATCTGTTAGGGAAGGGCAACAGAATGTGGCTGCCTAGTCAGTTTTCATAGAGAATGGAAAACCATTCCCTATCAAAAATAAACAAGCTTAATAGTGCAATGTAGGATGTCAAATATCTATGCTATGGACATATTTGTGAAGGACTTTAGGGGAAGGTGTATATCTCTGAACGTATTGCTAGGGAAAGTTTAGAAAAAGAAGCTCTGCTAAGACCCAGTGTATAACTTGGCTAATTGTTAAAGAACAACTTGTCTCCCTGAAAATGTTATACTGTCAAAAGCTGTTGAGAAGAGGGTTAATGAATGACACAGCAAATTATTTGTGTGGTCCACCAGTGTTGCTTCATCTTTCTTCCTGGGTTTTAGACATAACTATATTCCTGGATTTCAGTATCGACAGTGCAGCATACATGACCTCCCACAGGCCACTGCAAATTGAAACAGCATTCACTCCGTGGTTGAAGTACATTATCATAGAACATTTACCTTCCCTACCCAGATATTTATTCCCTCCTTTATTTCTACTTAATACTTTCTTTCATAAAAGATATCATAGTTTTTTTAATTAACAGTATGTCTTAATGTCTGCTTCCTAGGATCTTTATTTGTTCTTATTGCCCCCCTTGCATACTTATGAGTGCAGCTGAATGCATATTTTCCATCCACTCACTGTAAACATGCATTCAGAGTGCGATTCATCTCATCTTAACTTCAGCTTTAAATTTAGTCTAATTTAGTCCTTCTGTCATCAAGAGAGGGAGATAAGCACCTCCAGACAGTAATTTATCCCACTTGCTGTAGGCATTTGTCCTAAGATGTCATACATCTCCGCCCAAAGGCTGACTCTCAAGCTGGATATTTTTTAGCTAATTGACTACTTTAATCTAGAAGCCTAATTTTTATATGGCTGGGATTAGGTAAGATGAATTCTACCCTTCTGTTCTCCATGGTTTGTCTTTAGTTTGAGCATTCAAAACAGTATTTACCATGCCTATCATTTTATCTTTTTGTCTGGAATGGCAGCATGTATAACCTAAAATACAGGTTCCATTGAGTTCCTTTGGTTTAAGGTTTTACTGATAGGCCTCAACTGACGTTTGTTTCTGCTAAGTGCTATGCATAAATGCAAGAAAAACAAGGAAGAACTTCAGGCAGGATTGACTAAGTGAAAGAAGATGGAAGAGTTACATCTTCTCAGAGACCAGTAAAGACACAGAGATTGAGTGACTTGTCCAGAATGATGAAACAGAAGTGGAAAATTGGTCAAGATTTATTGACTCCCCGTCCAGTGCCCCAAGCTCAAGACAAACTTTTTTTCCTCCCACGTACCCCAGTATATATTAAGCTTATATGAGATAACAGCATACATGCCTTCTCCCTCTCCCCCCCTTTTTTACTTGTTGTTATTGAACTAGTAAGTTTTCCCTTGAGTATACAGTGAAATCATTGGTGACTGTATGTGCATCCTTTACATAATTTGAACAAGTGAATTATAGAGTGCCGTAATCGCACAGAAATAAAGGTTTTAGAAGGACAGAGACAATCTCTTCAGTTAACTGTAACTCCACACAGCTTAATAAAAAGAACTGAGTTGCCAATTATTAATAGACTTTTGAAAGTCACATCTTTAAGGTATTTTATTTACAACATTACTTTGTAAGACAGCCTCTAGCAAAATACTTCAGTTATTAATATGAACATTACATTCTCTTCCCCTTTAATTTGGATATGCAGGAACTGTAAATGAAAATGATTTTTTCTTCAGAGAGTAAATCACAGGAGCAATCTTAAGCAAACTAGCAGTTTTCTAATAAAGCAAAATTCTATTCCCAGAGAGCTCTCAAAAAGATTTCAATTAGATGTTAAATTAGACACCTGAAATTCACATATTTCTCTCAGCTCCTTAGGCAAAAATAACAAGATAATAACTTGATCAGCTCAGAGGATTTGGTGTTCTATTGCAAAATGTCTTCCTTTTGAAATAGATCAAAATTGCAGTTTGCAGTATAAAAATTTTAGATTGCTTGTCTGTGTGGGAGGTTGAAGTGAATGGCTTCTTGGGAGAAGAAACAAAAAAATAGTCCCTAGTGCTTTGAGTACTCGTCTGAGAGATGAAGCACACTGATAAATATGCAATGTGAATAAACTTTTCAAATGTGCAATGAGTGGATAACAGAAAAATTGTTAACAGTGAAGTTGGATATGTTCTACTTTGGCATCTAATTTCAGTTAGCATTTTGGGGTTGAGCTTTTTAAACAAAAGCTTTTCCAGTATTTCTCTGCACATGCATAAAATGTTCCTGGAATAACATGAAGGTCAACACAAGGGCATAGTGAATGTGTGTATGTTTTCCATAACTATGTTGGCAGACGAAGAAGAGATTTGTTTTTGCAGAATCCCTATGAAGGCTTACTGTAATTTAAATGCTTCTTAGCTTAGTTGCCTGTAGATGTGGTAACAAATATTTTTACAACCAAACAAACTGAAAAATATTTGCACCTTGCATCATATTTTAGAAGGGTGTTTTGTATTTCTGCAAAGGAAAGACAGGTAGTAATGGACCCTGTTTGCTGGTACCAGTTGTTACCCAGTTCCTGGTACCCTTACTGGCATGGAATTTTAGGAGGCTTTGCCTGTGGAAAAGATGAAACTGGACATGAATATGGTGAGAAGGTCAAGGAATTGACCTTAGCCTTAATGGAAAAGAGAGCTTGTGTGCAGGCTTTGTCTCATGTAAACATTTCTTGAGTGTGCTATTTATAAAAGTTAATGATGGTTTACCTGAGATAGTCTGTGGACATAAGCAAGATAATCTTTGCATGCAGAATGAATACAGTTTTCTAGACCAACTCTGTCTACAAAGCTTGTTTTTCTCATTTATAAATGTCCATGGTCTACAGGTCTGCATCTAGGATGATTTATATGCTCCAGCATCTATCGAAGCCAATGTAAGCCAGATCCCTAGAACATTAAGTGATACAGATGATTAATAAAATTATACAAAACCAGAAAAAATATTACCTGCTCAATCATGCAATATTGCAGTTTATTAATAAAGGATGTAGATACTTGCAAGATACTCGCTGCCGTGTCTGTCAGATGCCCAGCCACTGGAGAGGAACCCAGCTACCACTTCTCTGACTTACTAGATGGCATTAACTGTGTCAATACAGCTTCTTACAAAATGTTACCAGAAATTGTGTGGGATACTGTGCCTTCTAAACTGAGCAGTGACCATAAGATGCTGAGTGTTCTTCCTCCCTTTCAGCAAAACAAATAAATAAGTGTACTCTTAACTTCAAATATGTCAGTACTCATTGGCTTCATTGAGGATTCATCAGAAGGTTGAAAAAATAAGCATGTGTTTAAATGTTTTGCTGATTTGGTACTGAAGTACTTCAATCTTTGAAACACAGAACCTTGAGGAGTTGTGCTATTTGACATGGTTGAAATTTCTAGACATTTTATATTAACTTCTCAAAGAATAGGGAGCGTTTCTGTACAGTTTGGGCAGTGAGGATGTGTCTCCTGTGTAGCTCTGGAATTAATTTTATGTAACTGCTTACCATAACTGTTTTGTGTCATGGCCCCCTGCAGTTTCTTATCAGCGTGCAGCCTGCCATAGTTATTTGTTTTCATTATTTTATTTTATAGGCAGAGCATTTATTCTAAGATATTTCAACAAGAAGCAATACAGAAATGCTATACACTATGTCAACAAAGCAAATATAGGCAAATGCAGTAAGACTCTATGTTCATCATGCAAGAAATGCAAACCAGCCAATTGCATATCTCTGAGATGGTGAAAAGAAATTATTAGAGTCCGAAAATTGATTATGTGTCATTTTGCTCATTCCAGGCATTTCCTTTGCTATAACTGTGTTCTGGGAGGCATGTTACATTAGTATCAGATGCATGTACACTGAAGCTTTATGTGATACTAGCCCAAATTTTAAGGATATGCAATCTCTTTGAAATTTAACATAGCTGTACATAACTTGTCTATATCCCCACAGCCCTGCCACTACAAGTGGCAGGAATGTAATGGATGTATGCAAGGGAGGTTTTTAGGTTCCTTGCCTTGAGCAAAATTAGCTAATGATATTCATTCAGATACAGTACAGTACAAATGGGGCACATTAAATGGCTTAAATTAGGTCAAATTGAATAATTGAATTTATTCTTTTACTTAAAAAAGAGCTTAATCAGCTGAGAGTGCTAGAGTCAGAAAAAAATGTTTAATTAAATACTAATTAGAAGTTCATATTTTGAGTTTCCTTATCATCACTTGCAGCAATATTATTTATGTATCTGTTTTTCCTCATTACAGCTACTAGAGGATGATGTCCAACCATTCTCACTTGATGAAGAATTTGATTATGACAATGTGGCACTGACCCCTAAGTTCTCTGAAGCTGAGCTGAAGGCCATTATAGCATTATCTGAAGAGAACAAAATGGGGACAGATGTCAAGTCAGCATGAGCTGAAGACTGAGTCAAAGGCATTCTGGGCAATGCTGTTGAAATAATATTTTTAGGGGGTAAATGTAGCTCTTCATTGTACCCTTATTTAGTGTTTTTATCTATGTGGCCAGTAAATATCCTCAAGATTTTTTTGTTTGTTCTACCAAGGTGCCTTGGAGCCTGAGGTTGCCTTTCCCTGTATCTCCTCCTAGTCCTAATGAAAACACAGAAGAGGAAGACGGTGGCTGCCCACAGTTGCTTGTACAGTAGCCCTTCAGCCAGAGAGGAAGTATTTCCATACTTTTTATATGTCTGTACACTGATCTGGTTAGGCATTCTGGGTGGCTAAGGAGGTCTGTATTTGTCCCTAAACCCAATGGGATTTTTATATAGATCAGTGACCTTTAATATTTTTAGGCCCTAGTGCTCAGCTACTTTGTTGTTTTCCAGGTGGCACAAGGCAGTTGGAAGGATGTCTCAAATGACATCCATAAATCCCCTTTTGTAGAAAAATCCTTGAGGGGAGTGAATCCTGTATTGGCTCAGGCTAGGTATGCTGGAGTACTTGCTTCATAGGACCAAAACAAGCTGGTGGAATTCAGAATACCACTATGGCTACTCTGGCTTATATTTGGTATTGACTCAGTTCCTGACTAGCACAAAGCTAGTCCTAAAGTTGCCTTTTACCTAGTTCTTTCAGTAATGCAAATAAGAGCTTTTTGTAGCTGATAAATCAGCCTATAAACTCTTT